CATTCGCATCTTGAAACATAGGCGCATCGACATTATTTGAAGTATTTTTTTGATAAACGTTGTAGTTACTGAGATAATGCGAGGTATATGAAAAGCAATTTAACGAAAATTTACAAGTTTCGAGTTATAGCCGTTTGAAATATGATTTTCTCATATATCGTGATGTAATTGGTGAATTTCAAAATTTTCTATAATTTGTTCTACTTGTCACACGAAATCAAGATTCAACAGGGTGAAAGTTCTGAAACCCCTCAATATTTTCCACGAATAAAAAAAAAATCCATATTTTTTTATAAATTACCCCCTACCCCCCAAACGCACAGGACGATTTTTTGACGACAAGTGGATCCATGATCTGGAGATGGTAGGTAACAATTCTAGCCATGTCACAGCTTTTTACCTCCGATTTCCCACGGGGTGAACGATAGGATTCGATTGGCACTCTACTACTACAGCCAACAAGCCGCCACTGAAACCAGGACAAAACAGTCGAAATCCAACGGAAGTGCGCCATTTTTCCTGTATATCGTAAAATCCAATCGAGAACCATAACAGTAAAATGTCTAACACTGACGCACCCTAATGAACGCCTATAAACTGTTGGATTTACCTGTTTGTTTTGCAGAATGCAGCGATTGAACTGGGATTTTCTCTATATTTTATTTGTTTTTTCAATAATCTGAGCAATCTGTGAGATACCTATGCTTACAGCTTAAAGTATTCGGAGAATACTCTGAAAGGTAACTTTTGAATCAGGAAATATTCAAATGACGGACTATCAAATAATATATTCCTATGTTCGAAATAATGTTTATATAATAATTATGTAAACGATATTTACCCAGATGGATATTCCGCCCCGGTTCACTCTAGGGACGTCCTTGAAGGATGTCCCTGGGACAACTATCGAATACCTAAATCCTACAGTATTCCTCATCAAGCACTACAGAGGACATACTTAGGACATCCATAGGACAACCTAGCAGCAACGCTGAGGAATATCAATTGGATGTCCATAGGATGTCCCAGGGACGTACGAATTATTCTTGAATTTGAATTTTTCTGGGTCCCCGTAGGACCAGATCTTGCATAAGTGATCAGGACATCCAGTTGAGTTGATGGTCCGTAGAAGGTCCCCCCCAAAAGCTAACCGACGGATGTCCGATGGACTCACGTGAAGGACATTGACGAGGAGTACTCATAGCTTACAAGCAATCATCCGTCGGCGAGGTGTAAGTTAACGTCCTCGCAGGGACAACATATTGAAATTACCGACTGGGCCGTCCATAGGACGTTATTCTTAGGACATTGGGAAAGTACAGTTCATGTACCAATTGGGACATCCGACGGATATCCTCAAGGGACATTCAAAGAATGTCCCTATGGGACATTTCGATTATTATATGATCCTGGAAATATTGAGGGCGTTTGTGCAGAGATATTTGGAGGAATATACCATCACGTACATTTCATGGTTGTCTAGAAGGGACATTGTATAAGATCTGAAGTCATGCCAGAATATGTACTACTCAGGACATCCGATGGATGTCCCTAAAAGTACGTTCAAAATCATATCCCATCAGGAACATGCCAAGGATGTCCTTGCATGGACATTCTACAATATGTATAACGTGGGACTTCTGAGGGATGCTATTTCTAGGACATTTGAAATGATGTACCAGTTGGGACATTCCGTGGATGTCCTTGCTCAAACATTGCATGAGATGTACGGGATGAGACGTCCCAAGGACAGTTATTTTAGGTTCTGGAGATTCGGATGTGAATTGTTACAAATAGGGACGTCCCTACGACGTTGTGTGCTATTAGGGGAGTAATCAACTTTCAGTTTTCAATATTGAAGAAATGATTCAATTTATCGAATCAAAAGGAGTTATTGAAGGTGAGGTGATTTACTCTTCAGAGGGACGTTATTGATGGCGCGATAGCTTCAGTTGTGAATGAGTTCAACCCATTTGAGGCAGCAGAGCCTGACGGAATTTTTACAGCAATGCTTCAAATGAGCCTGAGATTCTTCATATCAATAAAAAGAGGGGTTTCTAGAGTTAGTATAGCACTAGAATATTATCCGAAAGCCTGAAAATAAGCAAGAGTATTCGTCTTTCTGAAAATGAGAAAAACATTACAGTAGCGAAGTCTTTTAAACCTATCAGTCTTACATCTTTCTTGCTTTCAACGCTGGAGAAGATGACGAACAAATTCCCATCATGAGGGCAATTGACGTCATGCTCATTCCACAGGAACCATCATGCACACAGGAAGGGGAGGTCGACTGAAACGCCCCTCCATACTGTAGTGCCACTGATCGAAAGGGCATCAGAATTAAAAGAGATGACGTTGGAAGTGCACATAGAGGGGGTTCTCGTCAACGCGAGGGCAGACACCATACTGGCAGCACTACAATCCCTATCAACACGAGTAAATCCTAGGGATTTCCCAGGTACGTCCCTAATTCCATACTAGGATATCTCAGGGATATCCTTTGTTGGGACAAAGTACATACTAGGGATGTCCAAGGGATATCCTCTTTCAGACTAAAAGGGCATTCAGGCCGGTACAAGCGAATCAGGTTACGTGACAGGGACCGCCAAGTACTACGCATCCTCATAGGTGTACCGACAGGACGCAATAGGTTGCGCAGACACTCCTCATTCATAGGTGTAGAAGTCAGTACTACTTCCCGTGAATGCGGAGAAGATGAAGAAACGTCATTTCACATCTTCGGAAAGTGTGAGACGTATTGAAGGATGAGGATCCGAGATCTTTGGGGTAAATAAACAACGTCAGGAGAATTTAGTTGAATTGAAGTGGACGGACATCCTGACCACCCTAACAACACGGGATCTTGCTGGTACATCCCGCTAAGGTTCTACAAATGTCCCAATGTTTCAGACTCAGGTACGATATCCCAGAGATGTTTCTCTTGGGACATCCATCAGATGTTTTCATTGGATGTTCTAGAAACATCCCATTTGATCTTTTTTTATAAACAATATCATGGTTCCATATCTGCTAATGATGATTGACATGATTGAACAGTTCAAACAATTGTGACATTTGAAACATTGAAAAGTTAATAAAAAATGGAAATCAAAACTGTATTCGTACATATATACTTATCGATCGTACATATATGTATACTTATACCTATACCAAAGCCGGCTAATTTCATCGATAACAAATTGAAATAATTATACTAAATATTTCTCAATAAGATTACCAAAGTACCTGCTTAACTTCATGAACCATGTAATGAACGACAAAATCAAAATATATCTCTTCAGCATATTTATTGCTGAATTTATTTGTTATACCAGCCGATAGATGGCGGTACAACTACGTGGCTAAGAGTTACTAACAGCCGTCGGCCTAGCGCCAACAAATATGAGCCTCAAACAACTGTTATCATCTTCCATTAGTTATTGGACCGCACCGACGTTATATTTTCGGATTCGGATTGTTACTCGATATCTGGAAATAGGTCGGCCATTTTCAGGATTTCAGATTGAAAATAATTCATACCGTGTCATCCATTATTGTCATCGAACAAAAAACATCCTATATAAAAGTTTCTTCAAGATGTTCCATATCAAGTACCCTGAACATGTCTCTGGTACATCCTGTATCATCCCACAAACATTCTGATGGGATGTTTATAAGACATCGCAAATGCTGACACGGGTGTTGCCAGCAACATCCCAAGAATGTCCCAAGGAAAATAGGGATTTTCCAGAGATGTTCCTATCATTCCATATGGATGTTTCTACGACGTCTTACAGATGTTATTGTGTTATTAGGGCATCATCAGAACAACTTGAAGAAGAATGTGTACTCATGTAGATATGTAGAGAGCAGAGGTTGGCTAAGAGCGCTCATGAGGGCCTACTTGCCTGACAGTAGCAGCACCACAATACTACTGTAACAACAACAACTATTACTTCTACCACTACTACCACCACTACTACTACTAAAACTATCCACTACTACTCTCTGGAGTAATGCCTGAGGGCAGTTTTGGAAAGGTCTACTTAGGGCACCCATTCCTCGCTCATGAAGATTTTTTCCTTCAAAACAAAAACAACCTACTACTACTACTAATACTCGTCAGATGGGCAAACAAAGTATCGAAGAAAAGATATTAGTTCGTTTGTAGTGAAATATTCATTATTACGTCACACACATAGATTTAGAATAATATGTAAATACCGTAGACCATGGTCTGTTGAATTGAACTATACTTCCACATGAACTAGTTATATTTCAACGTTTCCCTCCTGATTCTGTCGTGCTTGCGTTATGACCGAATGAAGGCTATACCTACGACATAGGATTCGAGAAATAATTTCAAATCAAAGCATCATCACTGCCATCTGGTGATCGAATCCACACCTCGATCTTGATTATTTACTCATCATGTATTGTCAGCAATTGATGGTCACTATTTTCGATTCGTTCTTTGTTTCAAATAACTATATTATCAACATATCATTATTGACTACGATCACTTGTATCAGTATTCGTTTATACGAGTCGATGCATAGATTTCGGGAGGATGTAATTCAATATCCTGCGTGGCATAAGCCAGGGAAGTAGGGGTTTTTCTTCCGAAATCAACCATTGTTGTTCATTTCATGAACACTGTGTGGAGATGACTCTGAGCTTTTTGCATTTATTTTTATATATCATTATTGATTCAGACCTCTCCATAGTCATCCACTCATCATCTTTTCTGAAAGTTGAAATAGGAGGAAGTTGAGAAACCAAATTCAGAATTGAACGCCTGAAATTCGATGAAATAGTTAACCTGGTTATTTTATTCACATCACTCAATCTCCTGTCGACATGATAGCGTTCAACCTAATTTGGCCCAAGCACAAGTTATCAGAATCTACCATCTGAAAATTGAGTTCGGATGTGTATCCACATTACGAAATGACCTGATTTCAATATGTCTGACGAACAAACTCTTTTTCCAATTCCAGTTCTCTCCCTGGGCACTAAAGATGACATCGAAATAACCCCGATCCTTGGCGTCCTCATCGGAGTGGTGACGGCCCTGCTGTTGGTCACCGTGATAATATTGGGCGCCCTGAAAATCAGAGCCGCTCGTAGGAATGGATCCAGGATGCCCAGGCCAGGATTCTTGCCTGGTAAAGAAAAGGTAGCGTTGCCACTCAGATCGGAGTCAGAGGACCTCTTCGAGAAAGATGACAGGAATCCTGACGTCATACCTAGTAATAAGGGTGAGTTTGAATAAATGTGATTCAATATGACAACTAAAAACTTCGCTGATGATCCATCTAGAAATGAATATCAGAAAATGGAATCGAATGTCAATATTTATTGAAGATTCAAATACAATTCGGTTTGACAAAAAAATGAATCCCATCCTAGAAGTCAATTACTACTCCACCCGATAGTATCCCTGAAACAGCCTCGATCGTCAAGAATACCAGGTGTTACAATGAATTAAAAATAGGCAAAATCTCAATCTCTCACATTTGCCCCCTAGTGGAAATCATGTTTATCATTCAGCAAAAAAACTAGATATATAGGGAAAAAATTATTCATATATTAAACGGTCTGGAGGCATCATTACGACTTGTTTAAGTCTACCAACCACTGACCTATCATTATGTATAGAAACGGTGGGGTCAGCGTCATCTGAAACTTGCTTGGACTTCGAAACCCCTTCAGGAATGGAAGACTGAACAAAATAAGATTCCTTTATTTGGTAAAAATGACGTTTCCATTCTATATCATCTAACTCTGGCCCTCGTTCCACATACATTGCCCTACCAATTCAGGTCACTGTGATATCTGGGTATCTAATAGTTATGCTGAATACCTATATTTCAAACCTTTTTATATACCTGGTGAAACCACTATTCCGGGTGAGACAATCATTCAAAAATTCAAATACGACAGTTATAGGGTTCTTTGGAGACTATCGCACTGGGAATTGTTCTCACATTTATAGGTTGTTCAATTTTCAAGATATCAGCTGATGCTAGTTTTTTTTTTATTTGACACCCTTCTCCCTGGAGAGTCGAGTCCATCAATGTATCACACTTGGGGTTTAGCATAAATGATTACGGAGATAAAGGGAGTTCGGAAACGAGATTTTTCAATTTGAGAATTTCCTTGTGTCAAAACTATTCATTATTCATCATTATTGATGACATTTGCTTGGATCAAATACAGGGTGGTTGATGATCTACATTTCTGATCACCATGTATCTGTTCCAATTGAATATCTGTAGATGCTGAATCAAAAGTTGAAATATGGACATAAATATGGAGCCGTTTTGAACGAAAAAAGATAGTTTCGATACCAAAAGCTCCCAAATTTTGAAAATCTCGATTTTGAAAACCCTATATCTCCCATCAATCATTCTCGCTAGACCACAAGTTTGATGTTCTCATGAAATCAGCTCTCCAAAGAGAATCTGAAAATGCAATAATATGCAGGGTGTCTTTATTGAAGAACTTATCATCTGCTTATATCTTGGACTTTGAACGCACTATAGATATTCAACGAAATTCATGTGTTTTCATTACACCTAATGACTGTTGTATTCGAATTTTTCTTATATATTTGTCGGTTTGACTAATATCGTAATAGAACACACTATTGACTGACCCTGTTGATAGATTCCTAAATGTATTTTCAATGTGTGAATCAATGAATGTGGGAGAGAGATTATTTTTGTGTAATCTTTCACACACGACACATCATTCACATTACTTCGCAAACTGGAAATGAAGGTGATTCAGAGTGTATTGCACATTCTGTAGAAAATATTAGTAGAGCTCATTGATTACAGTTAGCTTTATTAGGACGTATCCATTAACTTCAGTACCACAGTTTAAGGAAATACCTTTTCGTCAAACTGTGTCAGTACTATACGTCGAAGTCGTGGACGTCATGAACCAATAATGACCTGAAGCAGACGTCATTATGACATAATTTCACTAACCTGTGCTACCCGAGTCTATGCCCATGAACTGCATACTTCCATAAATGAAAATTTGAACGTCAAAACTTCATATTCTAACACAATTAATTAATACTCATATTACTGTAATCGACTGTTATAAAAATTACAGTGCGCGATGTAATGAACGATTCAACTTTAAATTCCTATTTAAATGCAGAATGACTGAATTTCAGGAGAGTCACTAACTGGTAGTTATCCCATTTTAAAAATTCATGAAGGGAAAAGGAGAATTATAAAGCTACTTGGATAGCATTTTAGATATTATAGGTGTACGCTTCATTCCTTCAGGGAGAATTATACACGGTAATTACTGAAACTTCAATCCATGAATTCACTTATGAATCATTTCAATGACATACTAACAAATATCATGTTAGATATGTTCTCGTATATAGAGATGGATATGAGGATATTGAGATATAAAAATGTTCTGTGAGAAAGAGGAATCCATTTTTTGAACCAACACTGAATTGAGAATAATGATGAGGTTATATTGGATAGGAACTGACTTATACTATAATTTTTTATATGATATCCCATATAATTCAACAAAATATTTCCGATCTGACAGGAATCAGGAATACATGAAATTGAGCTGACTGAAAGTATCCTTTATTATTATATTTCACTATGAATTTTTTTGTCAAACCAGAAATCATATATGGCATGGCGCAATCCTCTACGCAAATGAATGACGCTATGTGCTGTTTCGAATATCTATCAAGAAAAATTGTCGTGAGGTGACCAACAGATTTCTAACCACACATGCTTGATCGATAGTCAGTGTCATCCTATTTGAGAAATGTCACTAGGTCTTTGGACGATTTACGATCAAATCCGAAATCACCAGCATGAATATGCGTCCATATTTACGTATTATACAGGGTGTTCCCTAATGATATGATAATATTCAATAAGGGGCCGATTCTTCGACCCATTCCAAGAATAAAACTTTATATTATTGTATGTCGTAAACGTCCCAACTTTTGAGATACGTCAATGTTGAAAATATGCATAGATTTTTTTGTTTACCCTGTATAGCTTTTCGTGATGGCAAAATTCAGTATGCTATGTGACTGAACTTGTATACAAATTTCAGAATGTTACATACTGTGGTTATCCAGTAAAGGATGTCCTGAATGGAGTACTCAGACATCAAAATTTGGGGTCTGGTCTCATTTTTTTGTCGAAAACGAAGCGTTTTATCGAGTATCAACAAAATAATCTTTTTTTGTACCTAATTGAATAGAGTTTCATGAAATTGTATGAAATATGAAAATTTTTGGTCGTTGCTCACTTTTAAGTAAAATATAAACAATAATATTTCCGTAACGGTGCCACTGAGAATTTTTGCACATCAGAAAATGCACCTTGATGCATAAAAGACTTGTACCAAATTTCATGAAGATATGTACAATATTGTATTAGCTATTATCAAAAAACTGAATATTTTTCAAAACTTCATCACCTTGTATCTCAAAAATACAGACTTTCAGGACATACGTTCATAAAAAGTTTTCTTCTCGAAATGCGTCAAATAATCACCCCCTTGAATATTAGCATGTCTTGAAGAAACACCCTGTATATTTGAGAATAATAGAAAATATCAGGGAGGTCAGTCAATCGGGCAACAAGCAAACTATTCTGAATTGCGATGCCAAAAGCTTTCGAAAACTTTTGTAGCCCGATTGACTGCACTCCCCGATATTTTCTATTATGTCATAATATATTACAGTCGATGAATCATTCAATAAATAGTATTCGAGAATAGTTATAGTTTTCCTAATCCAAAAAAAATATTGATCTTTGCAATTACCTTATATCTGATTCCATCCATTAATGTTACGTTGGATCGGTGAGAGTTGAAGTTTCAAAAATCATCGCGTTGAACGTGTGCCATTCAGGACCACAAAACTAACATCAAAATAATTCCATTGAGCAATTTCTAGAATCTGGAGAATGGTCTGCGCCCATATGGTACAATATGAGTCCACTGATAGGACATCTGAGAAAATCTGGGCTCCCATCAGCTAACTGTTCCACTAATTAATTGCTCAAATTTTGATTGGTTCGTGAGGTGAGATTTGTTTCGTGAACTCTTTCGGTGACAACCATTATCATAAATATCTTTACATTTCGGAAACTGTGATTGATGAGTTTGTCTGTTCTTTTCTTCACACCACTTATCTTTCATGTTCATAGCAGTTTATGTGAGCTCAGAGAACGTATCTGCGAATCTACCTTTAACGATAACCGCCAGGTCGTCGGCGTATCCTAAGCAGTAATAATCAATGAATGATAGCCAATTAGCCATAGTGAGGGCGATAATACTCTTTCTTGTGGGCATCTTCTATCTGATCTAGCTATCAGTGTTGCCAATAATTGTTGATATGATAACCCAATTTTTCAAATTGGCATTTATTCACTGGTATAGAAGTAATGCTTGAGCGTTGATTATGGAATTTGATAATGCGATGTTGAGAGCACCTTCTATGTTTACGGATGTTATTGTTATAGCTGTTACTTTGTCCTTCATCGACTGTGCGAGTGGCCTTTTTATCAGTTCATCCATTTGAATGGCCCATAATGAGAGCGATAATACTCCTTCTTGTGGGCATCTCCTATCAGCTCTAGCTGTCAGTGTTGCCAATTGTTGATATTTTAACCCGATTTTTCTCAGACTAGAGCAGATTATGTCGAGGCTAGAGGCATATGCAATGAGACAATTCGATCATCAAAGGATGCTCATAATGCCAAGATAAAATGAAAACTTGTTGAATGTCCTAGCCGAAGCTGTAGGAAGAAACTTAACTTCCAGCTCGTTTCTTCCTCTTACCAAGGAAAATGGAACACTAGCCACGACTGCCCAGGAGAAAGCCAATATTTTTGCGCATTTATCTGCTGAAAATTCCACTCTGGATTCAACGGGAAAACAACCTCCAAACATAACGCCAATAGACAGTCATATGCCCGAGATCACTTTTTGCCAACGTACTATAAGAAATATTTTATTGGGTCTAGACACCAACAAAGCTTGTGGCTCCGACGGAATCCCACCGATTGTTCTCAAGAATGAGCTCCCGAACTATCACCTGTTCTCTGCAAGTTTTTCAACTACTCTTACAAATTGGGGATATTCCCGTCCAACTGGAAAATTGCAAGAGTGCAACCAGTTCCTAAAGAAGGCAAAGCGACACTACTCATCAACTACAGACCGATCGCACTGCTATCTATCATTCAAA